ATAGCTACTTTGATCCAAAGAGCAAGCCAAAGAAAGAGCATGTCTACCCCACTAACCAGGTCATCTCATCCAAGTACACAATCATAACATTTCTGCCCAGAAACCTCCTAGAACAGTTCAGGCGAATAGCCAACATGTGTGTCTCCACTCTTTGCACCGCCTCACCTCACTCCAATGACTGACCAAATCCTGCAGTTTCTTTGCATTCATAGCCATTCTGCAGTTCTTTCCCGAGTTCTCCACCATCTCTCCTGGTCTGGTAATAATACCCATCCTTATCGTCCTTTGCATCACCGCTATAAAGGATGGCTACGAGGACGTCAAACGCCATCAGTCAGACCGTCACGTCAACCATTCTCAGGTTCGCGTCCTTGCCGGTGGCGATTGGGTTAACCCGAATTTGAATGGTAGAAAAAGTCGGACCTTCGTCAGGGGTATCGTCCCAAGACGCCGTCCAAAGCGGAAAGATGTTGAGGCTGGTAGTGCAACCAAGCAGGATCCCGATATCGAGTACGACCGCGCAGATTCTATGGAGGAGGTTGAACATCATATGTTTGGAGATGCCGGCGAAATTATTAGGCCCCATTGGCACAAAACCATGTGGGAGGATATTCGGGTTGGCGACTTTGTCAAAATCATGAACGATGAGCCTATTCCGGCTGATATCCTCATATGCGCTACCTCCGAGGACGAAAACGTGGCATTTGTCGAGACAAAGAACCTTGATGGAGAGACGAATCTCAAGTCCAGAAACGCATGTCCCGCCCTTACTGACCTCCACACTGCTGCCTCTTGTGTTTCCACACTCAATCCATTCACTATCGACTGCGATCGACCGGATACGAACATGTACAGGTTCAATGCTACCGTGACTCGCAATGGAGAAAAGTCCTCAGTGGACGTGCAGACGGTTCTTCTTCGCGGCACGGTACTCCGGAACACAGAGTGGGTCATCGGTGTCGTTCTTTTCACTGGCACCGAGACAAAGATCGTCCTGAATTCTGGTGGCACGCCCAGTAAGCGGAGTCGAGTCGAGAAGCAGATCAATCCCCAGGTGTAAGTCTTTTCCATCTTGGGTCTCTTCTGTACCTGACTCATGAGTCATGCTCCACTTCCAGCTTGGCGAATCTAGCTATTCTGGCTATTATGGCAGTCGTGTGTGGCATCGCGGATTCCCAGATCGAAGCGGTGCAATACGCAGAGGGTGCCCCTTGGCTATACGGCGATGACGTATCTAATGATAACCCAAGGATTAACGGACTGATCACTTGGGCATTTGCGCTGATCACGTTTGTATTCACGATCCCTTCTTTTATCCAAAACTGATCGATCATCACAGGTTCCAAAACATTGTACCCATATCCCTGTACATCTCGATAGAGTTTGTGAAGACGTGTCAGGCGCTCTTCATCTACTTTGACTACGACATTTTCTACGTAAAGAAGAACCAACCGACCATTGCTCGAAGTTACAACTTGTCCGATGACCTTGGGCAGATAGAGTACATATTTTCTGACAAGACCGGTACTCTGACACAGGTGCGCTTGCTGTGGCTCATCTGCATCCCCGTTTAACGTTCTTTGTAGAACTCCATGGTCTTTAGAGAGTGCTCCATCGCAGGAACGGTCTATCACGGTGATCCTGAAGAGGATGAGGACGAAGACATCAAGAAACCCTCAGGGAACAGTACAGACGTCGTTCGTGAAACCAGCAACGACTCCTCCTATGCTTCGACCTCCGTGCGTGGGGATGATCCTGCCGTCCTATCTGCTGCGGATGTCACCGCCGTTAAACTCTCTAGCGGTGTCCTCAAACATTTCAGGGATGAGCGCCTCTCCCAAGACCTCGCACGTGCAGTAGAAGCCGAACCAGATTCAGAAAACGCTACTCAGGCGCGCTCGCTTAATGGATTTTTTTCCGTCTTGGCACTTTGTCATACTGTTCTAACCGCTGTCGACCCTGCGACAGGCGCCATCGAGTACAAAGCACAATCACCTGATGAGGCTGCCCTCGTCCAAGCCGCCGCGGACGTCGGGTTTATCTTTCGCGGACGTGAGAAGGAGATTCTGCTTTTGCAAACCCCTTTCTCGAAGGAGACAGAGCGGTATGAACTGCTTAATATTTTGGAGTTCACGAGCGCACGGAAGCGGATGAGCGTTATCATCAAGAAACTGGATGAACAAGATGGGAGACTGTTCTTGCTTACGAAAGGCGCGGATAACGTCATATTTGAGCGGCTGAAGGCTGGTGGAGATGATTGGAAACGGACGACTGAGGCACATCTGGAAGACTTTGCGAATGCTGGATTGAGGACGTTAACTTTGGCATACAAGGTTATTCAGGGTAAGTTAAATTTAGCTCGTGCTCCTGCTTGGCTAAAGGGTTTATGCAGAGGATGAATACGAGGCCTGGTCTGAACGTTATCATGAAGCCTCTACTGCCCTGGAGGATCGTGAAGACAAGATCGAGGCAGTTTGTAATGAAATAGAACAGGAGCTGCGACTTCTTGGTGCCACTGCCATCGAAGATCGACTCCAGGATGGTGTGCCAGAAACGATCGCTGATCTCAAGGTCGCGGGAATTAAGGTCTGGGTTGCTACCGGTGATAAGCTCGAGACTGCCATCGGTACGTATTCATTCTCTCTTTCAGGGTCTACCTCACACATCTTCGATACAGCTATCGGGCGCAGTACGAATCTCATAGCCGAAGACTCCAATATCATCATCATCCGCGGTAGCGACCGCCCGGTTGAACACCAAATGATTCAGGCGGTGGAGGAATTCTTTCCAGACAGCGGCATACTCGATGAACATGGCATTGCATCTAAATCACCATCAACAGAATCGACCAGCGCCTTCCCCATGCGGCGGCTAAGCTTGGGGGTCCGTGATATCGTCGGAGACGACAACGGTAATCGACCTGGAGGATTTGTGCTTGTCATTGATGGCGCTGCGCTGGACCACGCGCTTCCGGACGATGACAACAAGGCTCTTCTTCTCCGTCTTGCTACGCAATGCGAGGGCGTCATATGTTGTCGTGTTTCTCCACTGCAGAAAGCACTTGTGGTGAAGATGGTTAAGGACGGTCTTCACGTGATGACCCTTGCTATTGGTGATGGCGCGAACGATGTCAGCATGATTCAGGCTGCGGACGTTGGTGTCGGCATTAGTGGTGAGGAAGGTCTGCAAGCTGTCAACTCGTCAGACTATGCTATTGCACAGGTTTGTGATTTGGTTCAGTCTTGGATATGTCGCTCATGATAAAATAGTTCCGGTTCCTCAAAAAATTGCTCCTTGTCCACGGTCACTGGTCTTATGCTCGTAACGGAATCATGTTAGTTCGTTCATATTTGTGCTTGATAACAGTCCTGATGCTTTTCGACTATAGGATTGTGAACTTTTTCTACAAGAACATTGTGTGTATCGGTGTTTTGTGGTGGTTCCAGATCTATTGTGGCTGGAGTTCAGCTTAGTGAGCTATGCACTCGTCTCAATCTTGCATAACTGCTGACTCTTCTCCCAAAGCGCATTTGAGTATACTTACCTGTTATTCTGGAACTCGTTCTGGACGATTGCTCCTGTCCTCGGAATTGGTCTGTTTGATCGAATAGTCGGTAAGATCATATCACTAGACATACGAGCTATTTCTAACGAATTGCACAGATGCCGATGTTCTGATGGCCTTCCCTGAACTGTATCGCTATGGTCGCGAACGGACTTGGTTTTCTATGAAATCGTTCCTCATCTACATGATTGATGGAGTCATACAGGTATGTTACACCTTTCCTTGGGTATTACCCCCCTGACATTCATGCAGTCTGTTCCCATCTACTTTATCATCACCTATGCATACTTCACGACTACTTCTCGTACTGACGGATACGGCATCGAATTGTATGAGTATTCAACGGTAAGCTTTGTTCATTTGACTACTGTTTCGTTATTGATGGTAATCCTCGGCAGACCATGGTTTTTGCCACCGTTATAGCTGTCAGCTTGTTCAATGGCCTGAACACGAATGTCTGGACTGCCTGGGTCTTCTTTGCTGTCTTCATCGGTATCATTATTCTCTGGATATTCACGGTAAGTTCGTAGCGCTCTTCCTGTCATCTATGAGACTGACGTCTCCGCAGGCTGTCTATGATGCAATCAGCCCGGGATGGACAGTGACTAACGTCTATGGCAACAATTACTACCTGTTCACATCGGCCTATTTCTGGTTGTGTCAACCCCTCGTCATCGCCATCGCTCTCCTTCCACGATACCTGTATCGCGCATGGCAATTGGGGTACGCGCCTGGGGACCTAGAGATGCTTCGCTACATCCGGAAGACACGGCCCGATCTTGACATGGCAACGCTCCGAAGTGAATCGACGCGCTCCAAACCGTATGCGTCTTCAAGGCGGCGTACATCCTCACACATGTCACGAGCGTCGATTGCTTGTTCCAGCGCCGATAATCTATCGTTAGATCTACGGATGGCACAAGATCCGCGCGGTGCGAGCCGAACAGACATGTCCACTGGTATTCGCTCCGTATACCGCGGATTCGACTTTGCGACTGAAGAAGGTGGCGTTGCAATGCGACGCATGCAGACCAATCTGTCAGAGCGGAGGCAGAGCAGCCGCAACCTGCCTTCAATACAACAGAGCCCGCCGAAGCGCAGCCTACGGTTGTTCTCCTCTCTGCGTCGCAAAGCTACTCTCAAGAAGGATGATTGATGATACTTTTCGATTTGCATGCCATGGTTTGCTTCTTCACATTTTATTCATCATTCATCGCATTGTGCTGCTACTCATCTCCCCCCTTATTCCCTCTCCACGTGTATGGTCATACTCACTGTATTTCTCATCCTCACCTACTATTTATGACACCAGGTTATCTAAACACCTTGACGACGACACACTCGATGACCATACAAATATCAGAATTACTAATACACTATATACTGGGATGTAAATGAAACAAATAAAGATAGGGTGAAAAAGATAACATGACTTTCAAACATCAGGACTGTCGCTGTTGTGCAAGAACTTGATCTTTTTCCTGGGGCTAGGGGTGGAAATAATGACTTCGGCAATGAGCTTGCGTTTCTTGGACAAATGCGGAGGAGTTGGTAGTTCGATAATGGTAGTTGCAGGCATACAATTCGGCGTTCGAGAGCGTGCAGAGGATCGTAAGCGAGTAGAGTGTTTAGAAGAAGTTCCGTCGTCTTGGTCGTCGTCCATGTATACGGGGATTGGTGCAACGGGCAGAGCATCAGCATCATCCTCAGATTCGCACATGCGCTGCACCTCATCTTCGTCGTCGTCGTCGGATTCAACCATATCCTTGGCTTTGCCTCGCCGCTTCTTCGTGCTTCCCTTTGACTTTCCCTTCTTCCCCGTCTTGTTTTCATCCCCTTTACCATGCTCGTGAACTGAACACAACTCCACAGCTGTTCCGGCTCGGAGAAGGACGTCGATCCAGAGCTGTAGCGTTTATGAATGTCAGCTGAGATACGTGCCCGGCGACTCGCTGATAATGACCTTTTGATTTTCCTGCAGACTATCACCTGGACCCTTAACCTCGACGAACTTGCATTTTCCTGTATCCTCATTCCACATAAAGAGATCTGGACCGCCGGAGCAGCGCCCAGCATAATCTTCACAAAAAATATGACATATCACAGACAACGCTGTTCCGCCAAGACACTATGACTGCATCAATTACCAGCCTTCTCATAACGGAGTTTACACTCACACGAACTATCTTTACAATCTCCCCTTCCAATACCAGTTCCCAATCTACACCTACGCACCACGTCTTGCGTGCTCTATGCTCTGCTTCTACTCGGTTCACAATTTCCTCTCCTCGTCCATCCTCGAGTTCCTTGAGCCTTGTTTCGATGGGATCTCGTCGAGCATGATAGAATGCGTCTTCTGCGATATCCAACGGTGCAGTCTGGAAAGGGGTCTCGAAGGCACCGGGGATGGGGAGGAAGATGATATCCCAGAAGAGGATACCAAAGAGGGTAGTGATGATTCTGGTTTCTGAGTGTATGCTGCGGAATTGAGCGATCATAAGGGTGGAAGGTGAGAAAGGCGAGAGATAGACATACCCTTTGAACCCTTGGTCTTCGTACCATTGAAGTGCGAGTGTCTCGACATTCACTTCTAGGTTATCTCGTCCAACCCAGATAGACTTTCCTTTCTCCTCTTTCCGTTCCCTTGCCTAGGAACAGGTCAATATTTGGTTTCTCATCCAAAATACGAGAACTTACCTCGGCTTTGATCGAGACAGGCGTCGCATCCACTTTTGTCACGCCAGGCTTTTTTGGTGACAAAAATTTAGTAATGTCTCCTGCTTGAGTGATAGAAACTTTTGATTTGGCACTGTCATTGATATTCCGCCCGGCACGGTCGAGTTTTAAACTCGCTGCACGGTGGCGCACGCGCACTCCTTCAAAGGAGACTAACACAAGGGGTTGGAGGTTCCATTCGCTCGTATGCCGATCTGCAGGCTCAACTTTGAGCTTTTTTTCAAGAGCTGTCAAGCGGCGGTCAAGTTTGGGACGAAATACTATCCGGTAATTAGTCAGGACGCAACAAACATTAGCTTCAGATCCCAACCCACCAATATGTGTATCATCATCTTTAAGAGCATCGAGGCATGCCGAAAGAGCGTCATCATATCTGACTACATGTTTCTCTAGGATCAGCGCCCGGCGCTCGTGCCACCTCCCCCGTCGTCCACGACGCCACCGCCTCTGCGCAAGCAGGGACTCGAGAACACTGAGTTCATATTCGTGTTCCCCTAGAATGCCGAGCGCATGCGCGCCTTTACAAACGAGGCGAGTTAGGACGTGCCCTACAAAAAAGTTAAGCAAGTGGGTGCATGTAGTGGATGGAATGTACACACCACTCTCAAACCTCTCTAATCCGTACCCTCTCTCTTTCCCCTCAAGACCACCTTCATTCTTCATCTTTACTAGAGCCTGCCAGTGTGGATACACCTCCTCGAAAATCTCCTTCACTAGTCGCGCCCCACGCACGCGGACAGAGTCTGATTTCTCAGTGCTGCCAGACACACCAGATCTGGATTGCGGCCTGCTCTTGCTACTTGAAGCAGGTGTTGCAAAGGTAATTGATACAGGGGTCTGCACAGTCTTCGTAGAAATTGGTGTCTGTGGTGCTCCAGGTGCAGCACTTGGTGTTACTGGTGTCTTGAATCGAAGCTCATCCGCGGCTGGTGTCTTAAATTCCCTCTCAGCTCCCATTGCTGCAAAGTTCCCGGCGAACATGGCATCTACAACTTCTTCTTGCTCGAGCGCTTGTTCGTAAGCGAGAAGGGCATCACGTGTAGGCCAGATGTCCTTCGTACGTGTGGAGGCTATGTTTGCATAGGAACGCTTCTTAAACCGTGAGAGCAGGGAGGGCAAAAGAAGAGCTTGGGAGGATTGAGTCCTATATGATAAGTTAGTATAGAGAAACGAAAAGGCACAAGAAGGTGCAGGGGGAGAAGAAGAGACGCACAGCCTGAAATATATTATGTTTGCCCGCCTCACGAAGCGATGAAAGCTCTCATGTACACGCACACACTTGCCAAGTGTACCGAGAATAATATCGCGCAGTCGTTTCTGGGCTGTCTCGCGAGCAAAAGGGAGGGTAGTTTGTCGAAAAATGGCCGGTGATGATGTAAAAGTTGTAGGAATTTTGGATGTTGATCGGACCTTGGACGTCGTCGCAGTACGGGCGAATGATGATATTAGTGTCGATTGCGTGCAAGAACCTCTTAAAAGAGCGTGTATCATTTCGGACTGTGTTTGCGGAGATTCAGAAGATCAGGCTAAACGTGACAAGGACTTGAGGACACACTTTTGAACTAGCTTTGACACGCATCTGCTTTGCGATGCAACGTAGTTCGTCGACTCTGAGGCACTCGAGGAGGGTAGGAAGGTCCATTTGAGACTCGTCCTCTGCTAGAATGACTCCGGGCTCTGTGAGTGTTTCGGTGGGGTTCATAAGTTTGGTGTCAACCATAGGGAGGTCTTCGAGTTTTATAGAAGAGGGACCAGCAAGAGCGTTTGCAGCAGAGAGTGTTGCATCTAAAGGTATTGGGACTTCCTCAGTCTTGATGATAAGGGGCGTAAGTGGTGTGGGTTGATACAAGTGCGGTGCAAGTATTTCCTGAGGTTGCAGAATGCGTGAAGGCAGGGAACGTGGTGCATCTGTGAGGTCTATTATTTCCCTCTCCTCTACGCTCATCTTGACGTCCTCTTCATCTATAGTGTTTACTCTGACTTGACCTGGTACAAAGCATATCTCGTTAATAGCTTGAATAAGCCCTTCCTTGCTACCTATTTCAGCTTCATATTTGAGGGAGTCTAGACGGTGCCATGCATTGAATTTTCGCAAAAGAAGCTTCGTCATAAGAAACTTTGCATTTGCTATTTATCACTGAGTTTAGCTCATGAGGTTATGGAAAGTAAACATACGCGAAAGTCTGTCATATCTCTGGAAGTAATCAAGTTCTGGAAGGTCAAATAAATGTGCCTCGGTCTCTATCAAAGTCCCGAGCATGTCTGAGTATGCGTGTATTTAACATGCTTGAAAATGAAATCTTGATACATGACACACCTTCAAAAAGTCGGACATATACATTGACCTTCTTGTCAGATGCGTCTCCTGTCTCCCGATCGTGTTTCAAGTTGCAGAGCTCTCCCAGGTGCTCACCTTCACATATTTTGGTTTCGTAGGAGTAGTCGCCTTCAATTTCGCCCCCAGAGAATATGAGTGTACTAACTGAGTCCGCGTTTGGTGAACTTGGGCTCATTGTCGGGCTGAAACGTTGATGCATGATTGAGGCGTGTCGACGTCTTGCGGTATCGCGATCACGTGGGTTTCATGATAATTTCAAATTCGGCACTAATGGGATATACTCATTCGCCTCGCGATGTGAAAACGTGTTTGGTAGTGATGCGGGCCAGCAGTCCAGCAGATGAGAAGCTAGGGACTTTGCATGTCCCCACCGGCGATTATTTGCAAGTGATCACTGTGACTAGTACACCAAACAGCAAAGAAAACACAGTAATAGACCCATTCATCTACAAGTGCAGAATGACTTGTTGATCAATACACTAGGTTGGCCATGCAAGTATGGGATGAAGTTACGTATCATTGTTTGACGCAATTAATCCAGAAAATCGGTATGACCGGCAAATGAGTGGTATCTAGTCAGCTGAACAAGAGAATGCTGCGTATGATGGTAGTCTTCTACCGGCAACATGATTGAATTGCATAAGTGTCTTCCAATACATCCAATAACATCTACTTCAATGAAAATGCCCAGAAGGGACAAGAAGCCTAGCGGGAACCTGAAGCAGATCGTGATAAACATGGGAGGCACCTTGCGAGAACTGCAAAGCAGCTGCTGTGTGGGGCATGTGCGACGTCTAGTGGGGAAGAGGGTCTGGTACTTCCAGTTTGCAACGTTGCTGGCGCCGTTTCATTGACTACAGTGGATGTCTCCGCTTGTGGCGTGCTGCTGTTTGAGGCACCGGCATGTGCTTGCTTGCGAGGAGGACGTTGTAACCGCAACAGCCTATCCCTTTTTCCACTGTGGGCATTAGCGGTGCGCTGCGAGACAATATCAACGTCACTACATGGATGTCGAAAAGTCAGGAAAGCTTACATATTTGCCTCGTGTTGCAGAGACGTCCACAAGGGGAACCCCGCATGGGCAAGGAGTTTGGTCCTGGGAAGTGGAGGAGCGAGAAAAGATACGATCTATCATGTTTTTGATTTTGGAGCCTTTGGCGCTGCGCGTAGTGCCGGCGCGATTGTTGCGTTCAGTTGGATCAAACTGTCAATTGAGGATAGTGAGACGTGCATCAGATCTACTGTATCATATGGACTTACATCAGTCGAAGAATCTACCAGTTGGTATTGGAGCGCGTTTTGGGTGAGGCCGTGGGTCTGGGATGGTTTTCTGCAGGACTGAAATTAGGGATTATACAAAACGAGCGTAAAAGCGGCGTACCTCGAGAATTTTCTGAGTGGACTATATGACAGGTCAGCGGACGTGAAGTATGATACGACGAGATAATCTGCTCACCTGTTGGAGCTCCTTCTCTGACTCGCTCAGAGGAACTGTCCATGTGCGAACGATGTTGTCGTCACAGCCAGTAGCAATGAATGTGCTGTCCTCGGAAAATGCCACACACCGGACTTCATCAGGGTGCTCGAGTGGCTCGCCAATGGGTTCAAAAGTGGCCAGGTCAAAGAAACGCGTCGTCTTGTCGTATGAAGTAGTGGCGAATTTGGTGCCATTGGGAGCAATGGCTAGTGAGGAAAAGTTGCGGTCTGTGTGCGCGCCGAACTGTTTGATGATGTCTCCGGTGGTAGCATTTGATATTCGGATGTCTTTCCGGTTTCCACTGACAAGATGGCGACCATCTGGAGTGAATGCGATTCTTAATGCCCGCTGTTCTATTTTCAGCAACTACTTCTCCACTTGCTGGATTCCAAATGATGATGTGCCCATCTGTGCCTGCTGCTAGTTTTGTCCCATCCGGGGAGTACGACACCGAGTTTGCATCATTGCCCACTTTGAGTGGTCCGAGGACTATTTTTCCCGTCTCCCTCTTCCACACGCATACTGTTTTGTCCCATGATGCACTTGCAAATGTCTTGTTGTCCGGTGCAAATACGATGCCATGAACTTCCACCCTCTCATGGCCCTTAAACGAGACGGGCGCTCTTTTGAGCTCTGAGCTCTCTCTTGTTTGTCACAACTTCCCAGACCAGGATGCTTCCATTCTCTCCTCCACTCGCTATCCAACGTCCATCAGGGGACGCCGAGACTGTGCGGATTCTGTCATCGTGTCCCAACAAAGGCTCTCCCACTTGTTTCCCCGTGTCCAGATCCCACACCCGAAGACTCTCGTCGGCCGAGGCAGTGACGAGGAGACGGGTACCGAGGATGAAAGCTACTTCGCACACACGTTCCTCATGACCCTTGAGTGTCAGTTCAACGGGCTGGGCAGACGCTTTTGTGGATGCTTGATAGGTGGTGACCGCCATTCAATCTTGTTCGGTGTCTCGGTTAGCAGGAATCCTGAATACTGAGGGAACAGCGATCACTTACATGCGCTATGGTGAGTAGTCATTAAGTTGCATTTTCTGTAAGATACTGACTATCCCTGAACCCTGATGTCAGCTTTGCTGTAGACACGTGGTGTCCTGCATACGGATCATCTTCAGCGCTTCTTCCAGGAGCTTTTTTCAGCAGGCGCCATAACCGCTTTTACTGTGTTTCAACCTGTCATGATTTCCTGGCCACGTTCAACTCAGTTTACCCGAGATCTCTTCCTGCATGTATATTGTACTGATAAGTGATAACATGAATGTAACGAATTGATTGTTTGATATTGATTTGCCAATTTCTCCATCATGCGTTGAATTATACATTGTCAATTGATTCCTCGAGACGTACAGAATCCGATTGGAGTACATCGTATTGTTGGAGAGAAGCGGAGCACCGGAAAGGATCATACAACATCCTACTGGCTACACTGGTGTATTGCGAAAGGGTATCATACAAACCAATACACCGGTCTACCCCCAAAAAATAACCTGAGAGACGCTCAGTATCCTCTCCTCAGTCTATCATTTTCTTCCCGCAACCTCTGATTCTCCTCCCTCAACTTTTTCACCTCCCCACCCCACTCCTCCATCTCCTGCCGAAGCCCGCGCCCCATTCGCAGCATGTCAACGTGCAGCGCTTTTACGTCTGCGTGGTTCTTGGTCTGCATGTCCACAATGAGCCCCCGGAAGAGCTCGTATGCACCGCTTGCTCCAGATTGCATAGGGAACGTGCCTGAGTTTCGCCGGAGCGGTGATGGAACCCAGGTCTGTTCCACGGGTCGGCGAGGGGAAACTTGCATCGAGAGCTCGCGCTCGTGAGTCACTTGCGCCTCTTCTTCGTCTTCTTCCACGGCGTTTAATTCCTCGTTCTTGCCAGCATCTTCCACATCCACATCAACTTCTTTGCCCTTTCCCTTATCCTTACTTCCCCTAGACTTTGCGGTACCGATAGCATTAAGGCCTGTGCTGCCCGTCTCTGTCCTCGTCCTCCCTGCACTTGTTCTTACCCTTGGTTTCTGGGCTTCAACGACTATTCTTGCTGACCGTTTCTTTATGTCGGCCACGGGGGTTACAGGGTCTATCGGCAAATCCGGAGACGAGATTTCTGTGTGTGCATCCTCGTCTTCATTGGCAGGCGTCTTTGAGCGAGCGCTTTCCCTCGTCTTCGATGAAGATATTGATATTGTCGACGGGGCGCGCTTTAACGAAGACCCTTTGGTTCTCATGCCAACAGTTAAATTCGATGACGTCCTTGTAATCTCAGAACGAGTGGATGATCCAGAAGCAACCCTCGTCTCTCTCGTTTTATCTGTGCGCATCGAAGCCAGTCTAGTGGAGATCGACTCAGCAGGGTGCGCATGGATACCCAAAAGCCTAGACTTTGGGGAAGATGCGGCCCGTGCATTCAATCGCATTGGGGTATCACTTGCATCATCAAAGATGTTTTCCCGCGATGTGGACACACTACCGCGTAGTGCACTAGTTACTAGTTTTTGAGATGCATGTTAGCGTTCTTTACATGTATACTGCATAAAAGGTAACTCACTAGAACTTTCGGTGCTCCTGCCACCATGCGGTGATATAGGATTCCTCGATGGTGAGAAAGCACCTCGATTTGAGACACGCCTAGTTGGCGTACCGGTCTCTAGAGAATTCTGCTTCTTAGGTGTCCCAGAAATGGGTGATTTTATTGACGATATCCCATTCTTTCTCGGTACAGCAGCCGTCACAGGTCGGAGGGGAGAACGAACATTTGAGGCTACTCTGGCACGAGCACGTACAGGAGAGGAGTTTGCTGATGGATTGGAAATACTCGGTTTAACAGCCGACGCAGTTTTTAATCTTTTCTGCTTTTGTCGTTAGATTGGGAAAGATAGTGAATTGCCAGTGTGTGCCAAAGATACGTACCTGAACAGCGAGACATAGTACTCCTTGTCCAGTCTCGCCCACAGAAACCCTCTTCATCTCCTTGTCCAGTTCTCTGAGATTGAGAATCCTTAGTCCATCCCGCATACCGAGGTAGATAGCTGCACCCTCGGGTGAAAATGTGATCGAGGTAATGAGTTCCGGGGACAAGATTGTCTTGAATAACCTATGCCAAGGGAGTTAGTGCATAATGAAATAGAACACGTGTGTATGTACCCCTTATCCTTATCCAAATCAACAAGGCTAACACTGTTTGTGCTGGCAACAGCAACCAGCGTCTTGCTAAACGGGCTGCATGCGATGCCCACTACGTCCCGTCCAATGCTGATACATTTCACAGGCGCGGAAGGCTTGTCCACGTCGTAAACCAGTATATCATGTCCAAGACCAAGAAGGAGGCGGGTTCGAACATGCGGATGAAATGTCATGGTGCTCACAGACCTAGGAGCACTTGTGGGGAGGGGGAGAGATGTGTGTTTGGCAGGGACGAGTAGATTGTGAATATGCACGCCCTTTGAAGAGGCGGAAGCAATGAGCATACTGTCATTTGACACAACCAGTGCGGTAATCGTTGTTCCATGGGATTCAAGGGTTTTGAGCACTTTTGCTGATCCAGCTGCGTATTCCAGCATAATCACCTTCCTCCCGACGCCCAGTACTATATTTCCTAAAGGAGTCACTGCCATAGTATTTATTTCACTTCCCTCCCTGGACTGCACGTATATGGCCTTATCCAATCGGCATTGGGAGGTCATGAAGCGATCAATGCTAAAGGGAGAGGCAAGATAGAGAGATGAGTTATCGGGGGACCATGCTGATGCTAGATATTGAGATAGAAGAGGCTGGCTAATTGGAAGGAAAGATGGAGGATTCTTTAGAGTGACAGGAGAAGCCAATGCGAGGGCTGTCGTGGTGACCAAGGCAAGCATGTTGGTCGTGTTGTGAAGTTATCACTGGTTGATTTTCAAGGAGTGGTTAACAAGGAATGAAGGAGGACGTGCAAAGTTGTAACAGTTTCCTGGTATGACAAGTTGAATGATAAATATGTTATACAGAAGACTGATTAAACAACGATCCACGGCACGCGATTCAAAGAGGACGCGTCGGTCATGTGATACAAAACCCTCCGTCAGTCACATGATGGAAATAGCGCGTGAGTCTAATAATAGATTCGCTCTTGATGTTCTCGTCAACCGTGCTACCCGCAGGAGCCCATTGATGGAGTACCCATACGCACATACACTCCATGTATGCAGTTCAGCCGGTCATGATGATGGTACACGTTTCTCGCTTGCTAAATCTGATAATATATTGATTGGCTGTCCATTTTAGGCACTGCCCTCATCTCCCTTCCCTTAGGGTTCCTCAAGACCGCAACAAGCACGCGCTATCTGGGTCAGCGCCAAGCCTGCCTGCACCTGGGCACGCGCTTAGTCATCGTCCCCGTTATGCCCGAGCGGCGAGTTCCCAACCACAGCAAAGCATACTAACTTAATAAGCTCTCGGCGCGTTGGCAAGCGGCTTTTCAAGTGCAGTTATAACTTGATGTCTGTCGCACCTTGAATATACACACGCCACTTTAACCATGTTTTCTTCAGTCGATGTTCACCCTGTTGTGCTCGCCGTCTTACTACCTGCCTCCATTGTTTTATTCACATCCCTCAAGCGATTCATCAGGAACAGACAAAACAAACTTCCCCCTGGCCCAGTGCCGCTCCCACTGTTAGGAAATGTCTTATCGATCAACACCAACGAACCTTGGTTGACTTATACTAAATGGGCTGCTGCTTATGGTACGTGATCACATAGACCAGGTTGCATATGTTGTGCAGATCATCATATCAGGAGACTTGTTTTTCGTGCGACTTCTAGGCCAGGAAGTCGTGGTGATCAATTCCCAGCACGTTTCGGAAGCCTTGCTGGACAAGCGTTCTCGCATTTACTCCGATAGACCATATATAGCCACACTTGAGCCGTGCGTTCTTTTAACATTCTTCCATTTAATCATTATGAGGTACATACAGGTTTGGTTGGTCGGTCGTCTTTGGATTCACAGGCTATGGTGACGAATGGCGTCTTTGCCGACGACTCTTCCACCAAACTTTCCATACCGACTCTGCACTCAAGTTTCGTCCAATGCAGATCAAGCGCGCCCATGAGATGATCGTCAATCTAATCGATGACCCTGAACATTATCATTCTCACTTCGCAACGTCAGTCAACGAGTTTGTAAACATCGAATGAAAATTAACCTGTTCATAGATTCTCGTCATCAGTCGCGATGTCAGTGACATACGGCTACCAAACCAGTCCTCGTGATGATCCTCTGGTCCGAATCGTAGAAAATGCACTGGCTATTGGCTCTCAGGTAGTAACCCAAGAGAGAGCAATCTTACTCAAAACCTTCCCCTTCTGTAAGCTCAGCTCTTTTTCTGATGAAAATAGTTGACATTATGTACTCTGATGCAGTGCTGAAGTTACCTGACTGGTGTTGGGGATCCTCGATCAAACGCGAGGCCCAAGCCTCGACCAATTTCATGACTGAAATGACGGAGGTGCCATTTCGATATACGCAGCAGCATATGGTAGGCATCTTTTATTTTAGTCCCAGCTATTAATTACATGGTCGTCAAGGCCAAAGACTCGGCCCTTGATCAGTTTTCGATGGTGGCAGAAAATCTTCAACGAATGGAGAAGCAGGATCAGACATCTAGACCATTGTTTGAGAGTGCCTTGAAGAAAGCAGCTACTTCTGCTATTGTGGGTTCGTCATCTTTACAAGGGACAGTATACTGCTCTTTGATGCATATCTACGCAGGTTCATACGAGACGGTTAGCGGATGTCCGAACCATATTGTCCACCACTGAATGTCTTCGCAGAGTACTTCAGTTTTGATGACTTTTGCTCTCGCCATGGTGTCTTACCCAGATGTTCAAAAACGCGCACAAGCGGAGATCGACTCAGTGGTTGGGCGGGACCGCTTGCCTACATTTGAAGACAGAGCGTCACTACCATATATTGAATCAGTTGTGCGGGAGACTTTGCGATGGCAGCCTGTCGCACCCTTTGGTAATCTTCCTCGCTGAGGAATTAAGCCTGCACTAAAGATGATATCATAGCGCTACATGCCACTTCGAGTAATGATATATATGACGGTTACTTCATTCCAAAAGGTCTGCTATTTTTGTCTAATGAGCAGATCATCAGTAACATCATACATCAGGAGCGACTGTCATATGCAATATATGGTCAGATACATTCTGTCCAGGTTTCGATATACTCACATTATATTGCAGGGGAATTACACGGGATGAAAAGCGGTACCCCAATACATCTGTGTTTATGCCAGAGAGGTTCATGGACGCCAATGGTGCGCTGACGGACGACGACCCAGCTGAATATTGTTTTGGCTTAGGCCGACGTAGATGTCCAGGTAGGTTGAGTCATTTCATTGCCGTATTGCATGCGATGAGCCAATACATTCTTTGATCAGGCCGGTATGCTGCTGATGCCTCAGCGTGGTCTGCTATCGTTACTATGTTGGCCACGGTGGAGTTTTCTCTTGCCAGAAATGACCAGGGCAAAGTGATCGAATTCACCCCTCAATTCACGACGGGACTATTTCAGTACTTGTTTTCTTGTGTTATTTCATCCGGTTACTAATATCTTCACTGATTTAGTTCCGTTACGGTCTTTCCCTGTAGTATTTCGCCACGTTCTCATGTTCATTCAGGACTCCTAGGTGCCGCTTTACGAATGGGAGAGTAATATATATACAGGGAAAGACCCGTCATTGTCCTTTTCTATGTTCTGACTTGGGCCAACTACCAATCAGTCTCCTAGGTGTTCTTTTCGTGTCGCAGTACTCTCAGTGTACCTATATTTGATGCGTCCTTTTTCTAGTTCGAGTTATTTCGGCACATACCTTGTTTGAGTAGTTTCAATATTTGCTTTAATTAGCAAACTATTAAGGGCCTGTGCAGACTTGTACAGAACTTACAGCCATGATCAATTTTTGCAGGTGAACTCGAGACGCGTCAGTCACATGATGTAAACAGCGTGAGTCTAATAATAGATTTGCTCTCAAACATCCACCTAGGCTACCTCATTTCCACCTCAGGCAACACTTTTCGGTGCCCATAGAGGGTCTTACATACCCGGTTACTATGTTGTAGGAAACCTATCTGCAAGACCCTTCCTCCCTCCATCTAAAAATAGCTGACATGTAATTTCAGCTCCTTGCACCTCCCACGTATCTACGGCGCCTCCTGCACACTCTTTCGTAGGCTCTATTGGCTCTGTCAGTCCATTAGTGGGCTCCCACGGTATGCAGGAAAGTCTTGTAGGGTTGCTTGGTAGGCCGAGGAGGCATCCTTGGTAGATATCCGCTTATATTAAACCAAGTACTAACTACAAGTTTTCCTACAGTTATCTTCTAAGGTTACCATTTTGGGTGGGGGGTCATGCACATGTACGAAGGGGTCGTGTGCGGTGTGCGGTGTGCGGTGTGCGCACCTAACTTTGAGCGTCCCTAATGATTAGGCCGGAGAAGACTTAAAAGCTTAATGACGCACCTAAGTTCTCGCTTGCCCAACCTGACAATATTTATATTGATTAGCTGTACATTCGAATTTCCAAGCACCCTCACCCTCACCTCCCTTCAGGTTCATCACTGTCCACAGATCTCCACACGCCGCCGACTGTGACGAGCGCCTGGTATCTGGGATCAGCGCCAAGCCTATGACAGCGAGGCATGGATACACATTCCAACAAGCTCTCGGCGCGGTTTCCGTGCATATAAAATACAATATTTCTCGCGTCTTGTGTACCCACACATCGCTCTAGCCATGTTTCCTTCAGTTGATGCTCGCCTTGCTATGCTCGCCGTCTTACTTGCCTCCTTTTTTTTTACCACATCCCTCAAGCGGTTCATTAGGAACAGACAAAACAAACTTCCCCCTGGCCCAGTGCCGCTCCCACTGTTAGGAAATGTCTTATCGATCAACACCAAGGAGCCTTGGTTGACTTATACCAAATGGGCTGCTGCTTATGGTACGTGGTCAGATAGTACCACGGTACATATGTTATGCAAATCATTATATTAGGAGACTTGTTTTTCGTGCGACTTTTAGGCCAGGAAATCGTGGTGATCAATTCTCAGCACGTTGCGGAAGCCTTGCTGGACAAACGTTCTCGCATTTACTCCGATAGACCATATATAGCCACACTTGAGCCGTGCGTTCTTCTAACATTCCTCCATTTAATCATCATGGAGTACATGCAGGTTTGGTTGGTCGGCCATCTTTGCATTCGCAGGCTACAGTGACGAATGGCGTCTTTGTCGACGACTCTTCCACCAAACTTTCCATACTGACTCTGCACTCAAGTTTCGTCCAATGCAGATCAAGCGGGCTCATGAGATGATCGTCAATCTAATCGATGACCCTGAACATTATCATTCTCACTTCGCAACGTCAGTCAACGAGTTTGTAAACATCGAATGATTATCAACCTGTCAATAGATTCTCGTCATCAGTTGCATTGTCAGTGACATACGGCTACCAGACCAGTCCTCGTGATGATCCTCTGGTCCGAATCGTAGAAAACGCCCTGGCTATTGGCTTTCAGGTGGTAACCCCGGAGAGAGCAATCTTACTCAAAACCTTCCCCTTCTGTGAGCTCAGCTCTTTTTCTCATGAAAATAGTTGACATTATGTACTCTGATGCAGTGCTGAAGTTACCTGACTGGTGTTGGGGATCCTCGATCAAACGCGAGGCTCAAGCTTCGACCAATCTCATGACTGAAATGACAGAGGTGCCATTTCGATATACGCAGCAGCATATGGTAGGCATCTTTTGTTTTAGTCCCAGCTATTAATTACATGGTCGTCAAGGCCGAAGACTCGGCCCTTGATCAATTTTCAATGGTGGCAGAAAATCTTCAACGAATGGAGAAGCAGGATCAGACATCTAGACCATTGTTTGAGAGTGCCTTGAAGAAAGCAGCTATTTCTGCTATTGTAGGTTCGTCATCTTTTTTGAAGGATGTATACTGCTCTTTGATACACATCTATGCAGGTTCATACGAGACGGTCAGCGGATGTCCGAACCATATTGTCAACCGCTGAATGTCTTCGCAGAGTACTTCGGTTTTGATGGCTTTTGCTCTCGCCATGGTGTCTTACCCAGATGTTCAAAAACGCGCACAAGCGGAGATCGACTCAGTTGTTGGGCGGGACCGCTTGCCTACATTTGAAGACAGAACGTCACTACCATATATTGAATCAGTACTGCGGGAGACTTTGCGATGGCAGCCTGTCGGACCCTTTGGTAATCTTCCTCGCTGAGGAATCAAGCCTGCACTGAAGATGGTGTTATAGCGCTACATGCCACCTCGAGTGATGATATATATAACGGTTACTTTATTCCAAAAGGTCTGCTATTTTTGTCTCATGAGCAGAGCATCAGTAACATCATACATCAGGAGTGGCTGTTACATGCAACATATGGTCAGATACATTCTGTCCAGGTTTCAAAATGCTGACGTTGTATTGCAGGGGAATTACACGGGATGAAAAGCGGTACCCCAATGCATCTGTGTTTATGCCAGAGAGGTTCATGGACGCCGATGGTGCGCTGACGGACGACGACCCGGCTGAATATTGTTTTGGCTTAGGCCGACGTAGATGTCCAGGTAGGTTGAGTTATTTCATTGCCGTATTGCATGTGATGAGCCAATACATTCTTTGATCAGGCCGGTATGCTGCTGATGCCTCAGCGTGGTCTGCTATCGTTACTATGTTGGCTACGGTGGAGTTTTCTCTTGCCAGAAATGACCAGGGCAAAGTGATCGAATTCACCCCCGAATTCACGACGGGACTCTTCCAGTACTCGTTTTCTTGTGTTATTTCATCCGGTTACTAACGTCGATTTAGTTCCGTTACGGTCTTTCCCTGCAGTATTTCGCCACGTCCTCATGTTCATTCAGGACTCGTGGGTGCTGCTTTACGAATGGGAGAGTAATATGTGTGTGACAGTGAAAGACTTGCCATCGTCCTTTTTCTATGTTCTAACTTGGGCCAACCGCCAATCAGTCTCCTAGGTGTTCTTTTCGTGTCGCAGTACTCTCAGTGTACTTAAATCCGTTACATTCTTGGCATTCGTGCCTAACGTTCTCCTGAAATTGGCGTAGATTTTGCTATAAATAGACTATAGTATGTCTATGATCAAGTGACAATTTGAAATAGCCCATCGTGAATCTAATAATAAGCTCACTCTCGACCTCCCCCGTAGTACCCGCAGCAGTTCGCTTTACTTTCTCTTCCATCCGCAGGCGGCATTCTCTGTTCAGTCACAGCAGAAATGAGAAAATAACACCACCCTAACTCGATCGACTTTCCAGATATGACCCGACGTAGATTATATCCATCGCAAATTCTTGAGAGCCAGTTCGACATATGGTATTTCCTTTCGTACGGGCTGGGTGAGCTTCTTGGAATGCTTTAACTTCTTTTGGTGAGCGGTGGTCAAGCATCTCTATCAGCTTACGATTGTCCGCCTCTCTTTAGACTGACTCGATATGCGGGTCTCCTTGCTCACAGCCTCGGTTCACTGGCATGGTTGGCTAGATTGTTTGCTACATATCCTCCAAGGAAGCAACGCTTTCTGTGTCTCTATGAGATTTTCGTGAATCGACTCAAGTTTTCCTTCCCGTTGCGAATCCTTGATAGGGAAAATATCGGAATCGTGGTGTGTTTTGCTTTTGGCGACCAATGCTAAGCGCTGTTATACCAGACCGTGTCACGATCAGTATCAGTTCTTTACTGCTCTTGAGTACGATTCTTCTAGATGCCTTGTCGGACATCCCCTGATCGACGTCATAGACTAGTTTCTCGAGGTAGCCTGGCGTGCATCTGGAACGACTCGACTCCGAATCTTGACGTTTGTGTTTTCATGCACTTTCCTCAATCACTTGACGTCTACACCCAGTCTGAGCGGGGACTACTAAATGCTTCACTTTTGCCGCTTTGGAATATAACTGCAGAGGTCTCCACACGCATAACAAAGAAATCAAATACTCAGTCATGGTCCTGTGGATCAGATGGAGTGCACCTCATCCGAGACCAACCGTATCGAAAACTCTGTGCTCGTTAGATGAGCCAGTGTAAGTCTGGGCCCCATGACCACCAGAACGAGTACTACTTATTTCACCTTCGAAGTTCGATCCGCGTTCCGTTCGATGCTCAGTCTTATAACACCTCCGGCGCACGTCTACGCTCGTTCTATGCGACAGCAAGCTATGGGAAGTTCTACCCCGTCGACAATGTAGGCAGTCTGTGTCAAGCAACATCATACGTGTCATTCATATCTAATTCGAAGATCGAAAACCAATCAATCGAACAAATTCTAGAAGCTGGGGTGTCGTGACATCGTGATATTGCTCGCTGACATACTATCAAGGACAATTTCCTGTTACAAAGAACATAAAGAGCAGACACCGATCGTTGGTCGCATTACAAGATACTCGAGGACGTAGAAAAATTAGTTACGATATACAGAATACAGATTATCGACGGATTACACATATTTTACGAGCTCAATCAGGGAGTCCATTTGTCCGAGGAAAGATCAAAGTGGAGTACAATCCAGAAGCCTATACCATCGGTCACCTTTGGCGATCCAACTCCTGATGGTGAAACGCATTTTCGGGGAAACGACTGGCAGGATCTTCGGCTCCGCATACATGTCATGCACTTGCCCGAGGTTGCCGATAACGGGACGTAGGCGAGCTACAAGTCGATCGAGAGCATCTTTATCTACTCCCAAGTCGGTAGCGGGCAGTCCAGACAGAAGTTTACACTTTGCAGCCGCTCAGAGCTTGACAGAATGTGCAAAATGAAGTAAGAAACTTACAGTTTCGTTGCAGAGAGACACCGTAATTGTGTTTTTTTCATCATCTTCCAATTGGAAAAGCAGGTTATAAAGCCATTTGCAATGAGTATCGAGCATGTCATCGCAGTCGACACAGCGTTTCCAGGACCGCCGTATCCTATAGAACACATTAGTGTCGCCCCAGGGAAAGAATCGGCTTAAGCTGACTTGGTGTTGCACTTCATGCACCGCAGGTACGTGGCTTGATCCAAATCGAAGGGATGAAAATCGGTCACCCGCGCAACGACCGTGAATGTGCTGGGACAGGCGGTGCTGGCGATAACTTGTTTCAGAGTGAGATCTTGGAATGTCTCGGGAGTACGAGGGCGTGATGTTGTGGCGGAATTGGCCGTTGGTTCGACAGACACCCCGTCTCGTTTCATTTCTAACTTCCACTTCTCCTTGCGTCTGTTGTAGGAGTATCAGCGACAAGTAAAATGTCAACAGTTCCGCTAACACGTACTGAAGAAGAGCGTGTACGTCCTCCTTCTTGCGGTCATCGGCTGCAATGATCAGTCGTTCGTCGCCCCCTAGACGCCCAAAGTCACCCTTAACACCTATCCTGTTAATCAAGCGCAGATTCTTGATTCTATACATCGCGCCTGGCTGAAGGTCGCGTGCTCTCCCTTTCTGCCCACCCTCCAGGACAATCTTGACAATCCGGCGGTCAAGACCAAGAGCCCAGGGTGCTGACTCTGCTGGGTTGGAGAGGTTGGGATTGAATGTGTAATCTGTCACATAAACAACTGGCTCTTCCCCAGGGGCAAGATCAACATGAAGAAGCTGTAGAACGTGTCATGAAGCGAAAGACGAAGTTTTTATCTGACCCACCTCAACAGTGCAGTGGAAGAACGTAACCTCTCCGTCAACATCTTCAATCAACTTAGTGTCAAACCGTGCAGAAGAGCTGGACACCCCTCCCCCTTGCTCAAATTTCTTTTTCCGCCTGGAGAATACGCAATAAATGATATGATTGACCAGCCAACAGCACCACTCACTCTAACAATGCGCGAAAATGCAAGTTTTTGCCATGTTCGGCCTCATCAAGCTTTTTTGACTTGTGTGTTTCCACCAATTTACCGTGGAGATGATTATCGGAGTCTGTCTTCACGCGTGCGTTTGGGAGGCTCCAGAATTGCCCGGGCTGCATTGTATTTGCGAGGAGCCTCGCGCTATCCCACATCTCTATCTTGAAAACGTATGCTGACAGTTCCGAAGAGCACCAGTTTGCTTGTGGCGGTTTGGCGTGAGGGTTTACGGTGTAGTCAGTCACATACAAGGTGTTGGGTCCACTGGTGTTTTCATAGCTGTGCAAAATCTAGACTTTTGTCAGCTCCACGTTTACGGAAAGTTGTCTGTAAACTCACTTCGACAGTGCAATCGAAATAACCTTGAGGAGAAGTCTCCGGGGTGACCTCAGAGATGAGATGATGCTCTCGCGAAGGGCGTGGGACGCACTGCACGGTTGTGATACCTTGTTCTTTGGCATGTATCGCTTGCCACCAGTCGGCAAGCTGAGCGCAGTACTGCACTTCTTTGCCTTGCTCACTCGGCTCGTAGTAAGGTGAGTACATATATCCAGATCCTTCGTCTGGTGTCCCAGAATGCGGGACGTCAATTCTGTCAGGAACGCGGAAACGCCGGGCTTGGGTATCATAGGTGGCCCAGCGTAACTTATCATGATACCCTACGCCATTGAAGCCGCCACTGAACAAGGAAGTCTGACCAAACATCGTGAGTGAAAGTGTAAATCAGTACAGGGAATTGATCGATACCTTAAGCCTCCGAAAGAGGACTATATCTCCAACATCAGCCTGAGGGAGCCACGCCGTGTGCTTCTTCTGGAAGCAATTGACCCTGAATTTATGAGACACGAATTCTGTATCGTCTTCCATGCAGGACGGGTCGACGATGGTGAAATTACGGCACCACTCTGGTACTACGATGAGCAAAGAACCAACAATAAATGCTGAGGAATCCTACCTTGTGAGCGCGTGAACGTCACGGGCTTGATTGACGTAACTACGCCAATGATGTTGAAGAATTCCGGTCCCGGCTCAATCTTCCTGATTGGTATAAACACATCTCCCTACAGACAGATTTCGAATGAACTCGTGTTGGACTTCTCTAAAGATACGAAACTCACCCCTTGTGTAGTCATTCCAGCCTTCATGGCCAGCGGTCCATGATTGTGTGCAGGATCATTTGCAGGAGGCGGTGAGGGCATGGTCACTGACACTGGTGCTATCCTCTTGGACGATGAACTGGTCTGTTCAGAACCCGAGCTTGTGCGCTCGTTGGAAGATAATTGTGGTGGTGACCGTACATTGGTGGGGGGCGATGATTGTGGTCGCGGAACAACCACCTCTGCTTGGGGAGTTGCTATCTCATGCCCATCCGATTCACGTCTGGCCTTAAAAGCGGATGACTTCTGTGCTTGCCTTTTCCGCCTGCGTCTTTGCCCTCTTGTAAAATCCATTTCTGGTGACCGCGCGCCAGGTTGAGGAAGATTAGTAGCTCGCGAGTCAAGATGCTGACGGGACGCAAGAACAGGCATTGGTTCTTCTCGTGCTTTCTGACTAGCAACTATTTCAGGCTGCGGGCTTTTAGATGGGGGATTTGTGTTCGACATCTCCACGTCTTCTGTGGAATGTTGCTGGACAATGTCCCCAATACGCGGAATGTCGCCGGTAGCGCTATACCAGTCCACTAAAAATGTCGCGTCAGCACAAATTAACATAAAACAGCATAAAAAATCACCTTCCCAAGTATTGAATACCTTCCCAATTTCGGGTCCTGACATGAGCATGGCTGCGATCCCATCTTTGAATATGATCCTGACGGGCAGATAGAAAGGAGCAGAAGACTGTGCCCTTGGCTGAATCTGTGCACCCTTAAGAGAAAGGCAGATTCTGTCATTAACAGCGAATGGGAAGGGCATTAATTCGTCAACTTTGGACGAAATGATAACGAGAAGGCGGTAGGTGTCGCTGTGTTCACGCATCTCGACATTCACCTGGCGCTTGTTACCGATACAGGGAAAAACCATGTGAATTTTGGCTTCGATATTGTTGGTTTCATCTGTCGCGGGGTCGAGAAGGTCAGTTGCATTCTTTCGACGTGTTTCATCGAATAGCGCGAGGTTGTCCTCCAGGCGAGATCTTTTTGGAGGGGATCCTTCTTCCACAGATGTTCTTTTCATGACTACGTTTAAATGTAAACGTGTGCACAGAGAAGTTGATAAAGCTAAGAGATGAAGAAATTGTAACTGACTTCGGAAATGTACCACGACGCGATGTAACGC